ACAAAACTATACACACAATAAAAGTTCAGAATTCTAAAGCAAAAAAAAAAAAACCAAACCAAATTAAATCCACACAATTACACTAAATATATATAATGTTCTAAAATAGATAGAGAATTTAAAGTCTTCAACTATTATGCCTCTTATTCAGTGCTTTCTCCTCTTCTGATATCTCCCATAGATTGGTAATAAACATATAAGTTGTAGAAGAATTGGTACTGTAATTGATCTGTCACATTTTCTTGGATCCACCCATTTTCATTAAACATCCGAACTAATCCTGCTTCAAAAGTTCAAGTGTGATCAAAATTTTCTTTCATTCTCCAATCTAGGTGATCAAAAAGGTATTTAAGATCTCCTACTGCATTTATAATAATCCAAAGTTTCCTTTCAATTTTCTCCAAAGCAAGATAACTTCCAACTGTTGGTGGTATTAATGGAGTTGAAGCGTGTGAAGATTGATCTATGATGGCTTCTAATACTTCATATCCATTTCCACAATAATTCTCATCTATAGGATTCATGGGCTCCCAAGGTAATAAAGTCTTTTCCCAACTTTCATATGGAACTTGGGGATGACTGCAAATCAAAAAGATAGTAGATCGATGCCCAAGTCCATAAATTGGTCCATTAGTAAGGATACCCATAATAGATTTAAATATAATAGACCCTATATCAATGGGTTTTTCCATTTGAATGCAGTAATTTAAAATAGCACATTCTTTGGTGACTCTACTAACTTTCATAGTAGCGAATAATTTTGCAGCAATAAAGAAATGTCATTGCTTCGAAATTAAATTAAGTAAGGAAATGGAGAAACTAACATATCCTTCATCTCGTATCTCCCACATATCACTTTCATCCGTCAGAAGATTATACACGTCTTGCATCAAATCTTGTGTAGGAATGAAATTTGTATAATGACAGATTGGAATCTTGTCTATCATATACAATTCATTAATCCTTGCAGGAGTAAATGGTATAGTCTTACCTTGTACGAAAACAACACGTTGAGTAATTTCATGTAAGTTTGCAAAAAACCATTTCACCACAGGTATGACAACTGCAAACGTAGTGTAACACAGAACTTCTCAACTCCTTTGCAGAATGATTTTATCAATCGACCAGTATGATTGATCACTCCATGATTAACAAATCCTCTTTCCTTGATCAATCTCTTCTTCGCAATAACTTTATCGTATAATCGATATGCGTCGAAACTAATAAACTTTCTTTTGTTGAAAACTCCATACCACAAAGTATTTCTGGAATTGGAAGCCATGGAATCCGAAAATAGGAAGTTACTAGGCGTCCAAGGATGTTTCTAGGCCTTTTTAAACTCGTCCCGACGGGTATTATGAAGTGAAATCACGTCAAAACCCCCCAAAAGTCGTCTAAAGCAGTCCAACTGCAGTCGGCGCCGGCGTCCGTCCAGTCCAACTGCAGTCGGCGCCGTCGTCGCTCCCGATTGGCGCTGCCGGCGCTAATGTCCGTTATCTAGAGCGTCATCGGCGCCAGTGGCCAAAATTGCGATTTTCAATTTTTTTTATTCAATTCGATTCCAAATTTTACTCCAATATCAATATTTGACTTTATTTATAATAAATGCAATTGTATAGGATTATTATCTACTAATATATAAGACACTTCACAAGCTAAATAGTAATACATAGCGATATAAGTATGGGTTGCCTCCCACGAAGCGCTTGGTTCAACATTATCAGCCCGACATACCATTTGTTTAGTTGGGTTAACTTAACATTAAAATCCATTAACTTTAAATATCTTTTCAGTATTAGGATCTTTAATAACAACAGTTTCATAATGATAGACTTTAATCACTTTAAATGGTCCTAATCATCTGGATTTTAGTTTTTCTGGAAATAATCTCAAACTTGTATTATATAGTAGAGCTTATTGTCCAGGTTCAAATTTCTTCTTAACAATCTTCCGATAATGTCATATTTTATTTTCTCTTTATAGATTTTTGCATTATCATATGTTTCATTTCTAATCTCCTCAAGTTCATTGAGTTGCAAAAACTTTTTCTCACTAGCATCTTTTAAATTAAAACTAAATTATTTAATAGCCAAAAATACTTTATGTTCTAATTCTACTGGTAAATGACATGTTTTTCCAAAAATCAATCTATATAGGGACATTCCTATAGGAGTTTTATAAGCAGTTTTGTATGCTCATAATGTAGTATCTAGTCTAGCAGGTCAATCCAATTTATAAAGATTTATAATTTTTTTCTAAAATACATTTAATTTCACGATTCAATATTTCTGCTAGATCACTAGTTTGAGGATGATAAGCAATAGAAAATCTATGCATTATATCATATTTCTTGATTAATTTTTCGATTCTCTTATTCCTGAAATGAGATCTTCCATCAGTAATGATTACTCTCGACATTTAATATTTTGTAAAAATATTTTTAATTAAAAATTTAAAAACACACTGAGCGTCACATCTAGGCACAGCAATAGCTTCAATTTACTTAGACATATAATCAACAACAAGTAATATATATAAATTTCCAAATGAAAGCATAAATGATCCCATAAAGTCTAATCCCCACACATCAAAAATTTCAACTTCTAATGTGTAATTTAGAGGCATTTCGTCTCTTCTGAAAATATTTCCTACTCGTTGACATCTATCGCATGTTTTAATATATTCATTAACATCTCTAAAAATAGTATGCCAATAAAATCCAGCTTGCAAAATTTTATATGCAGTTCTATTTATTCCAAAATGTCCTCCAAATTCATAATCATGGCATCTTCCAATTATCTGTTGAGTTTCTTTATAAGGCACACATCTAATAATTAAATCTTTACATTGTTTATATAAATATGGGTCATCCCAAAAATAGTCTTTCGAATCGTAGATAAATTTCTTTAATTCTGGATTCTTGATATCAGGAGGTAAAATGTCACTTATAATATAGTTTACTATATCAAAAAAAAAAAAAAAAAAAAAAAAAATCCATTTATTAATACTATATCAATGTTCATCAAGGAAATTTTTTAAAATTTCATTTGCAAAATTAGTTAATATTTCTATTTCTATTCTAGAGAAATGATTATCATTTCCCTTTCTATCAATCACGGTAAAATCAAACTCTTACAACAGAAGTATCAATCTAATTAATCTTAGTTTAGCATCCCTCTTTTGATTAAGTATTTAATAACAAAATGATCTGTATGCACTATACATTTAGTTCCAATTAAATAAGGTCAATTATAAGATCTAAAAATGTAAAAAAACAAATAAAATTGCAAAAAAAAAAAAAAAAAAAAAATCTTTCAGTAGTAGTATAATTAATTTTTCCTTTGATCATTGTGGGACCTTCGAGTATATTGACTCATGTATAACTTTAAAACTTTGTCGTGCATTTTTCCTAATACAAGCCCGAATAGCATAATCACTATCATCACACATTGTTTCAAATGGTTTCTCTCAGTCAGGTGATACTATTATAGGTGCAGTG